TCGAATTAATCAGCAAATAAACAAGGGAAAAATTAGAAGTAATGGCGATGCCACCATTTGCACTCTCTGTGTGACTATGGGATGGTACTCCTAATTAGAGGTTCTTTTTTCTTTGATTAATTTCTAGTGATTAAAAGGTTGGAATCTGTAATATTGTTTACAGGGTATTTGTGGGGCGTGCTGGGCTTTTAGCGCGACAGGATCTATTGAAGGAGCAAATTTCCTTGCAACTGGGAAGCTTCTTAATCTGAGTGAGCAACAGCTTGTAGATTGTGATCACAGGGTTAGCTTCAATCCTATTTTAATATAATGACAAGTTTAATTGTTCCCATGTATCAAGAACTCTGGAGAAAATTTGCTTCTGGCCCTGCAATTCACTGTTTTTTTTTTTTTTTTTTTATGGTTTTTTTTAAACATTCTAAGTTAGAGGTGTGGTTATTAGATTAGGCGATGACTTCTATCCTTCTCTGTTAGTATTGCAAATCTCGGACCTTATCTCTCTTTTCAAACAAGAAAAAGAGAGAAATTGAGAAGAAGGGTATTATTGCACATTGAAGTAATTCTAATTTAATCTATACTTAAAAGAAGGATGTTTGTAGGAGGCCTTATGACAAATGCTTACAAGTATTTGATCGAGGCGAGAGGTGTAGAAGATGAAGATTCGTATCCTTATACTGGAAAACGCGGCGAATGCAAGTTCAAGCCAGAGAAAGTAGCTGTTAGAGTTATGAATTTCACCAATGTCCCCATTGATGAAAACCAGATAGTAGCTAATCTTGTCACCATGGCCCTCTTGCAGGTTTGCTTCCTTAACTCTAATTATGCTTCGCAATTGGCATGTTTTATAAATGATTTAGTATTTTCATTTTGTGTACAGATTGGGTTTATATGTTTTTACAATGACTCAAAGTAAACCGGACTTCCTAATTTGTGTAGTAATATATCAGAATTTCACATTCATTATCATTATTATTTTTAAATCGATAGACGATGTCAATAGAAGAGGACATTGTGCGTCTGTCGTATGAGAAATAAGGTGAAAAAACTTACTTAGTAATTGAATCAAACTGATGCAAAGGCAAAGCACTAGATTTGTGAGTTAGTATTTACAACTTGACGAGTGTGCCTACACATTCCTGCAGTCGGATTGAATGCTGTGTTCATGTCCGCTCGGTGGAGTGTCGTGTCCGCTCATTTGTGGCAAGAAATGGCTCAACCACGGCTTTCTACTCGTGGGGTATGGCTCGAAAGGCTTCTCCATTCTCAGGTTTGGCTTCAAACCGTACTGGATAATCAAGAACTCGTGGGGAAAGCGATGGGGCGAGAATGGTTACTACCGCCTCTGCAGGGGACATGGCATATGTGGAATGAACACAATGGTCTCTGCTGTGATGACTCAAACCTCCTAGAATATGTGTGTGTGTATATATATATATATGCCAAGTTGTTCTGCTCCTGTAATGGTTATAATGGGTTGTAACATCATGTTGTATGACATGCATTTTTACTGTCTTGCATGTCCACTTGCTTTCTTCTAGTGTTTTAAAGCATTAAATACATGTTGTATACACACAGTTGCTACACTCTAAATGAAGTTAATTGTTTTTGTAGAATTTGATGGTTAAGGTTTATAATGTTCTAAATACACTAATGGATTGTTAAGAGCTGTTTTTAAGGAATTGTTGATGGGGTGGGTTAATATTTTTTTGGCTGGGTAATGGTAGTAATATTTTTTTTTTTGTTTCTTGGCCGGGTGGTACAGTAAATTTTTTAATAAAAAATTTTTTTTGGGTGGGCTCAGAATCCACCAGTGGTTGTTTTGAAAGGATTGATAAACAGAACTATCCGGAAAAGAAACCTTGCAGGATTATGGAGAAAAAAGAGACGCTATGGAGATAAAATAATAATTTATATCACTATTAATGTTCATATTTTCATTTACTTTTTTAACAATTTTCAAAATAATTGTTGACGAAATGACATTTGTAATATATTGAGAAAAAAATAAAAAAAAAAAACCTTTGTTGTGCACTTGTTCTTTGTTATTTTGTTGGGGTCTTAATAATTGTTGTAATTGAAAAGTAATGAAAGTGACCAATGCTATTGCATATGGTGACCGTGGTCATGTTTTTTTTTACTGTAATCAATTTTAAGATCCACAACGAAATAATAATTAGGCAAAAAATGAACCAAAACGACACTTATAGCTCCATGGATAAGTTATTATTCTCGATAATATTAGATGGGTAAACAAATCACATAAATAATTAATTGAAAGTAAAGAAATCAAAATGATGAACTTAAAGTGGGAAGACAATTCAATGAAGTATGCTTTGCATGGCATGAGTGGAATCTTGTTTTTGTTTTTGGGAAGGTTGCATGACATGAGTAGTCTTTCATATTTATGTGAAAATTGTGAAATATTTTTAAAATAAATAAAGGATTCTAGAATGGAGTGCTTATAAAAGTATTTATAGAATTTTATAGAGTTTGTAAATTGATAGATTTTTAGGCGGAGAGTTCTAAAAATTAAAACGCCGATTTGAGAGTAAAATACCTATATATAGATAAGAATCTCATTTATAGCTATAAGCTCTAAGACCGAGTAGAGAATTTTAATTTGTTTAGAGAGAAAAATGAAAAACTAAATTATCTTCAAATAACACAATGCACTCATGTTTGGTGATATTTATTTTAGAGTGAAAAGAGTATTTAATGGGATAAATCAGGTAGAGAGTAACGCTATATATTCTTTATAAGTTTATAGTTTTTTTTGACTGTCTCGTTAGTTTTAATTTAGTTAAGATTTTCCAAAACATTATTAGGATCATCATTCATAAACATTTTGGATTTGTATTTTAATAAACACAAAAAAAAAAAAAAGACACAATTAGACTAGTATCATAGTTTCATTAATATGTAAAAATAAAGTAGTTTCCTGAAAATTCAAACAAAGGTATATTGATATAATGGTATTTCCATAATAAAAGAATGATGGAGGCAACAAATTGCACCTAATGCAATAACAATCAGCATCTAACAGTGATGATTAACGCCACCTCTTCAACATTGCCTTGTTGTTTTACCACATGTACGAATACCACTTGGTGGAACAGGTTTTGCAATTCCACTAGAGAGGATTCGAGTTTCTAACTAATGAGCCTCACTACTATAATTTTGATTCTAGTTTTCTCTAATGCACCACCAAGTATCCGTGCATTGGAAAGAATTTAGATTATTTTATTTGCTTAAATGGTTTTTTAAAATATAAGTTAAAAAAAATCCATTTCAGTCCAAAGATAAAAGTCTTCTATAATTTTAAAAATTTTATTTTTTTGTTATTAAAGTACTTATAGTTTTGTTAAGAAATTTTATTAAAGATGTCAATTTTGATGGTAACTTCACTTTCTTTCTCAATTTCAAATAAAACAAACGTTGATTGTCTATTTATATGGTTTAGTTGTGTTTAGATTTTATGAATGCGTTATGCCTACTGTCTATTTCTTTATTATTGCTTCAGGAATTTTAATTGCATTTTTTCCTTTGGAAGTACCACCATGATTAGCCAGCCATCCATCCATTCTCTGCAATTGCCACCATGGATTTCCATGCCCTCACCAATTTCCCTTAGAAGCAGCACCAATTTCACCATTTCACCATTTCACTTGTATAATAAGCTTTCATTCCTCCACCGGATTACCTTCTGAAGCAGCATGATGCCATATCTGTTTGTTCACTTGCACCACCACCATTGTCACTCCTCGAAGATGAGCCGGTGTATGAGTTTGGAATGCACCTTACAAAATATCACAACCTTTTAGCAAGGTGCATTTCAATCTTGACAGAACAGTTTTACAATTCTACCGGAGAGAATTCGGGTTCTTTAATAATGAGCCTCACTACTATAATTTTGATTCTAATAGTCTCTAATGCACCACCGAGAACCAGTGCATTGGAGAGAATTTAGGTTATTTTTATTTGTTTAAATGATTTTTATAAATATAATTTAAAAAATATGCATTTCAGTCTAAAGATAAAAGCCTTTTATAATTTTTATTTTTTTTGTTATTAAAGAAATGAAATTTTATTAAAGATGACAACTTTGAAGATAGCTTCATTTTCTTTCTCAATTTTTTTATAAAACAAATGTTAATTGTTTTTTTATATAGTTTAGTTGTGTTTAGATTTTATGAATGTGTTATGCCACATGGATGTGGAGGAGTGAGGAGTGAGGAAAATTATTGTAAATTTGTAACCTTTCTCCTACGTGTCGAATTTCCTTCTTGTGGTGTAATCCATAGGTGCATTAACTAAAATTTGATAACATGTTAATCGATTATAAATTAATAAAAAAATCATAATTAGAATAGTGCTAAAAAAAAAACTAGTATGTGGGGATTTCAGTGCGAGTATTGTATAGAATAGAGTATCTTATTTCATTTCGGACTTTTCCGTTGTTTTATTACCAATAATTTTTATAAACTAAATACAATTTCAAACCTACTCAAAATATATTTTTTAAAAATTAAATTAAATATAATAAAATAATTACCCATTATAATTATAATTATAATTTTTGTTAATTTTTTTAATATTGTGAAAAATAGTAATAATAATTTTAAAATATATTATATAATATTAATGTTATGTAGTACGGAGTATATATTTTAAAACAAGAGTTTAATGAGTTTTAAATCTAATTATTAATTTGTTCTAAATTGCTGAGCTGAGAGAGAGAGAGAGAGAGAGAGAGAGAGAAAAAAATCTCTTTTTATTGAAAGCGAGTGGCGAATTAACAGAGAAACCAGGTGGCATCAAACCATGAATGCACGTCGAGAACCTGATGGCATCAAGATTATCCACGTGTCACCTAAGGAAAGCGATAAATTCCATAAGCCACGTACATGTTCGTGAATTACTATTCTACCCTTTGATCCTGTTTGGTCGATGACCTTGATTTGAATTGGATATTTATAAACTACTATGGAGTAGCATATAATGTAACTGTCAAGTCTAAAATGCCGAGTGAGGGCAATTCTGTAATCACACATGGTCCATCCTCCGCACTCTTTCACTGTGAAGAGACAGCACAAGCACACAGGTAGGAGCAGATCAGTTGAAGAAAGATGGTAGGAGGAGGTGGTCTAACTTACACGGTGAGTATCGCAGTCCTAACATGCGCACTCGCGCTCTGTCCAACCCTCCATGCGAGCCCACAAGACCCAAAGATACTCCAAGTCACAGACGATCATCATTACTACTCCCACAATCAGCTTCTAGGCACCGCCACAGAGCATCACTTCCGGAGCTTCATGGAGGAACACGGGAAAGAGTACTCTACGAGAGAGGAGTACGTGCACCGCCTCGGGATCTTCGCCAAGAACCTCATCAGAGCGGCGGAGCACCAGGCGCTCGATCCCACGGCCGTCCACGGCGTCACGCCCTTCTCCGATCTGTCTGAGGAGGAGTTCGAGGCGGCGTTTATGGGAGTCAAAGGCGGCGGTGGGTCCCACTTGAACGATGGTATCGCCGGTACGGCGACCGTGATGGAGGTTGGGGGTTTGCCGGAGAGTTTTGACTGGAGAGAGAAAGGCGCAGTTACTGAGGTCAAGATGCAGGTTAGTTTCAGTATTATTTAGTTGCGAATTGCGATATATATATATATACATATATATATACATACAAGTATGTATATGTCTACACTACACATCCATAATTTCACACACATTTATACACACAGATGCACACGTTTATTTACAAAAGAGGTCATCTGATAACATCTATGTTTTATACTTCAACTGTACGTGTGATACGAACAGGATCCGATCACAACCTTGACAAGAACACCACTGATTATTATTAAGTGTAACACGGCATAACCTATTTAATAAATAAGTCAAGATTTGATATGAAAGAAAAGTTATTTTTGACATGAATACAACATGTTTATTTTACATATTTAGCTAAATGGATTTTTTTGGTACGAACTCGATATATTTATTTGACACATTTAGTTAGCGGGTTAATTAGTGTCGACACGAATACCATTAGCCCAAACCCAAATCCTCCTATGTTGTGTCGTATTAGCCTGCCGTGTCATATATTGTCACCCCTACTATTACATTATTGGGGGAATGTCCATAAAAAAAAAGGTAGTTACAGCTTGTATGAGAATTCCACCTGGATTTAGATTGTTTTGTATTAGTCCTTAACTTGTATGCTGTATTTCAATTCCAGCATAAGTGGAATTTTGAGTAATTGTGGAACTTGATTGACCTTGTGAAGAAGTTCAAGTTCAATCGTGGATAGATTAATCAAGCTTGCATCAGGTAATACCCAATTCAAAAATAACCAATCTTTAATTGTTAGAAAGCTATTGCATCTTCCCCGGAGTGTCTCTTCCGGTGTGTCAAACAGTTGTTATTTTTTAGGTGCCAGGATTCACCATAATACACTAGAAAATTACCCGATGGGACATGTTCATTTCGGAAATATTGATTTCAACTCCCATTATTTAGTGTTGTAAAAGCTTTTGTATTTCTTTGGAGGCCGTAGGAGCATTCTTTTGAAAGAACCGAGCCACAATACGTCTTCTAGGATGAATCACCCTATGTCCTGAGTATCATTTTCTAGCATTTAATTTGGTACCTAATGAGCTGCAATTTAAATAGAATTTTGTCAAAATGGAATGTGGCTTGCAAAAATGTTCACCCTTATCTGGCAGTCTTTTACTACTAATTGGAGATGTCCCTCTTTAAATTTCACTCTTAGGTTATGCAAAATGTCCCCACCCTTTTGAGGTTAAAATATATGCACTTTTTTTTTTTTTGGTTCCACTTCGAGAGGTAGAAGGGGCTGAAATCTTTTGGTGGATTCAAGGTTAAAATAGTGGTTCCTTAAATTTCACCTCCTCACTCCCTCCCTTTTGAATGAACACTCGGATTTAACATGCAAAACATACAGCTTATTTGTAAAAATTTCTTATTGTCTCTTAATTTTGCAGCTTTGAAGTATTCTTGACGTGATGAGCTTGAAAAGAAATCAAGAATAACCCTTATGTTATATAACCTTTACCAGTAGTTCCACTCTTATTTGTTTTTACTTGTTCTTCTAAATTATTTTCAGCTGCACAAGGTTTCTCAACCTTCTGTAGTGTTTTTATCCTTAAAAGTATATCTATTGAATATTGAATTAATCAGAAAATAAACAAGGGAAAAAGAAAAGTAACGGTATGCTACCATTTGCGCTCTCTGTGTGACTATGGGATGGTACTCCTAATTAGAGGTTCTTTTTTCTTTGATTAATTTCTAGTGATTAAAAGGTTGGAATCTGCAATATTGTTTACAGGGTATTTGCGGGGCGTGCTGGGCTTTTAGTACAACAGGATCTATTGAAGGAGCAAATTTCCTTGCAACTGGGAAGCTTCTTAATCTGAGTGAGCAGCAGCTTGTAGATTGTGATCACACGGTTAGCTTCAATCCTATTTTAATATCATGACAAGTTTAATTGTTCCCATGTATCAAGAACTCCGGAGAAAATATGCTTCTGGTGTGGTTATTAGATTAGGCAATGATTTCTATCCTTCTCTATTAGATAGTATTGCAAGTCTCGGACCTTATCTCTCTCTTCAAACAAAAAAAAATTGAAGTTGAAAAGAAGTGTATTATTGCACATTAGAAGTAATTATAATTTTATCTATACTTTCCGTGAAGTGTGATGCAAAAGAGAAGGATGCTTGTAATAATGGATGCTTAGGAGGCCTTATGACAACTGCTTACAAGTATTTGATCGAGGTGGGAGGCTTAGAAGATCAAGATTCATATCCTTATACAGGAAAATGCGGCGAATGCAAGTTCAAGCCCGAGAAAGTAGCTGTTAGAGTAATGAATTTCACCAATGTCCCCATTGATGAAAACCAGATAGCAGCTAATCTTGTCCACCATGGCCCTCTTGCAGGTTTACTTCCTTGATTCTAATTATGCTTCGACTTCATTTGGCATGTTTTATATAAATGATTTAGTATTTTCATTGTGTACAGATTGGGTATATATGTTTTTACAATGACTCAAAGTAAACAAGGACTTCCTAATTTGCGTAGTAATATATCAAAATTTCGTACTCATCATTATTATTATTATTATTATTATTTTTAAATCTATAGACGATGTCAACAGAAGAGGACATTGTGCGTCTGTTGTATGAGAAATAAGGTGAAAAAACTTACTTCCTTATTGAATCAAACTGATGCAAAGGCAAAGCACTAGAAACCGCTTTGTGATTGAGTTAGTATTTAATTACAACTTGCTGAGTGTGCTTACACATTCCTGCAGTTGGATTGAATGCTGTGTTCATGCAAACTTACATCGGTGGAGTGTCGTGTCCGCTCATTTGTGGCAAGAAATGGCTCAACCACGGCGTTCTACTCGTGGGGTATGGCTCGAAAGGCTTCTCCATTCTCAGGTTTGGCTACAAACCTTACTGGATAATCAAGAACTCGTGGGGGAAGCGTTGGGGCGAGAGTGGTTACTACCGTCTCTGCAGGGGACATGGCATGTGTGGAATGAACACAATGGTCTCTGCTGTGATGACTCAAACCTCCTAGAATATGTCTATATATATATATATATATGCGAAGTTGTTCTGCTCCTGTAATGGCTTAAATGAGTGGTAACATGTTGTGTGACATGCATTTTACTGTCTTGCATGTCCACTTGCTTTGTTCTACTTCTAGCGTTTTAAAGCATTAAATACATGATGTGTATACACAGTTGCTACACTCTGAATGAAGAAAAAAGAGATGCTATGGAGATAAAATAATAATTTATACGTTGACAAATAGGTCAGACTAGTAGGTTGAATATCATTTTAAGCTATGTGTTGATATTTTGTAGTATGTAATGAATATATATATATATATATATATGTATATATAGAGTAATATCCAGAGAAATAAATCTTTCACGGATAGAGAGAATGGAAAACTTTAATAAATCTTTCACGGAGAGAGAGAATGGAAAACTTTTTCATTCAAGTGTGTCTTCATAAGCTGTATATACACATGGCCTATTTATAGGTTCAAAATTGTAGCTTCCCAAACAAGCCATAATAAGGCTTTCACTGTAAGCAAGAATTGAGTTTTCTCCGTAAGCCAAAAATGTTATCATGGATGACTTAAGATTGTGGGCCCCACATATATATATAACACTCCCCTTGGAGTCCACAATATTACACTAAGAATATGTCTTATTAAAACCTTACTAAGGAAAACTCAGTGGGACAAAACCCTAGTGAAGGAAAAAGAGTACAGTATTCTTGTGTATGGTATTGCATAGATTAAAACTGCTTTATTAAAATCTTGCCATGAAAACCCAGTGGGACAAAACCTGGATGAAGGAAAAAGAGTACAGTATACCAATACCTTTTCGATCACTTGCTCCCCCTCATTAGTTCAACCCTGAAGATCATTTAGTTGACGCATTCCAATATTGTCCACTAACTTCTTGAATGTTATAATTGGAAGCACTTTAGTGAATAAATCTGCTAGATTATCACTCGAGCGTATCTGCTGAACATCAATATCACTGCTCTTCTGGAGCTCGTGTGTGGAAAAGAATTTTGGTGAAATGTGCTTGGTTCTGTCACTTTTTATGTATCTTCCTCTTACCTGTGTAATACATGTTGTATTATCTTCATATAATATTGTTGGACTATCTTTGATTGAGGAGAGTCCAAATGATTCTCGAATATGTTGTATAACAGATCTCAACCAAACACACTCTCTACCTGCTTCATGAATTGCGAGTATCTCAGAGTGATTTGGGGAAGTTGCAGTCATGGTCTCTTTTATAGATCGCCATGATATAGCAGTATTACCACAAGTAAACAAATACCCTGTTTGTGATCGGGCTGTATGTGGGTCAGAAAGATAACCTGCATCTGCATATCCGATCAACTGGGGCTTTGATTTTCTTGAATAAAACAACCCCATATCAGTCGTTCCCCGAAGGTAACGCATACTGTGTTTAACCCCATTCCAATGTCTTCAAGTTGGTGCAGAACTATACCGTGCTAGTAAATTGACTGCAAATGCTATATCAGGTCTGGTACAATTCGCAAGGTATATTAGAGCACCGATTGCACTAAGATATGGTACTTCAGGACCAAGAACTTCTTCGCCTTCTTCTTGAGGACGAAAATGATTTTTCTTAACATCGAGTGATTAGACAATCGTTGGAGAACTCAAGGGGTGAGCTTTATCCATATAAAGGCGCTTCAGGACTTTTTCAATGTATGTTGATTGATAGATAAGAATTCCACTTGGTAAATGTTCGATCTGCAGGCCGAGACAAAATTTTGTTCTACCAAGATCTTTCATTTCGAATTCTTTCTTTAAATAATTAACAGTCGTGGTGAGCTCTTCAGGAGTTCCCACAAGATTTAGATCATCAACATATACAGTTATAATGGCAAATCCAGATTTTGATTTCTTGATGAAAATACATGGACAAACTTGATTATTCACATATCCTTCTTTTAGTAAATACTCGCTGAGTCGATTGTACCACATGCATCCGGATTGTTTCAATCCGTACAAGGATCGTTGTAGCTTGATCGAATACATGGTACGTGGTTTCAAGCTATTATTTGCTTCAGGCATTCTAAATCCTTCAGGGATTTTCATATATATTTCACAATCTAGTGATCCATATAAATAAGCTGTAACCACGTTCATCAGACGCATATCCAGTTCTTCTGAGACTGTCAAACTGATCAAAAAGCAAAATGTGATTGCATCCATTACAAGAGAATATGTCTCTTCATAATCAATACCAGGTCTCTACGAGAAACCTTGGGCTACAAGTCAGGCTTTGTATCTTATAATTTCATTTTTTTCATTATATTTCCTTATAAATGCCCATTTGTACTCTACAGGCATGACATCTTCAAGTGTCTGGACTACAGGTCCAAATACTTCACGTTTTGCTAATGAATTTAGCTCTGCCTGTATTACTTCTTTCCATTTTGGCCAATCATTTCTACGTTGACACTCTTCGACGTTTTGAGATTCAAGATCCTCATTTTCACCTGCAATATCAAGAGCAACTGCAAAGGAGAATATATCGTTAATAATAACTGTATTTCTATTCAACAATTCTCTATAGTTTATTGAGATCTCATTATTTTCAGGTACCAGTACCTCTTCAGGGGCTTGTGCCACTTCCGAGGCATGCATATCTTCTGGGGCTACTTGCTTATAAAATTTAGATTGATTAATCATTTTCGTTGTTTCTTTTGCAAGTATGACCTCTTCAGGAGCGCCAATTTCTTTATTTGATTTCTCTTGTGCTTTCCTCTTTCAGGGAACAGTGTCTTTTTGCACCGACTGGTCTACCACGTTTCTGGCGTGCCTTAGATGCATTTGCAATAACACTGACAGACCATCCTACAGGGACATCAATTCTTGCTGGAATGTTTACAGCTGGTATATGTGATTTCATCATTTTCTTTGTGTTAGTGAATGCATCGGGTAATTGATTTGCAATACTTTGTAAATGAATGATTCTTTGAACTTCTAGTTCACATTAATTTGTGTGAGAATCGAAATGAGATAAAGTCGAGACATTTCAATTAATAACTCGTTGCTCTTCTGGCTTTTTCTTTTCCCCCCCTAATGGAGGGAAAACAACCTCATAGAAATGACAGTCAGCAAACCGCGTCTTAAAAACATCACCTGTCATAGGTTCAAGATATCTAATAATAGATGGAGAATCAAAACCTACATAAATACCAAGTCGTTGTTGAGGACCCATTTTGGTGTGTTGTGTGTGGGGGTGCAATGGGAACATATACAGCGCAACCGAAAACTCGTAAGTGAGAGGTACTTGATTGTTGACCAATCACAAGTTGTAGTGGTGAAAAACTAAGATATGCAGTTGGTCTAATGCGAACAAGTGATGCTGCATGTAATATCGCATGTCCCCAGGCAGAAACAGGTAGTTTAGTTCTCGTGAGTAATGGTCTAGCTATTAACTAAGGACATTTGATAAAAGATTCTGCAAGACCATTTTGGGTGTGAGAATGTGCAACAGGATGTTCAATAAGAATGCCAATTGACATGCAATAGTCATCAAATGATTGAGATGTGAATTCCCCGGCATTATCAAGACGGATAGTCTGGATTGGATAATTTGGAAATTGTACTCGTAATCAGATTATTTGAGTAAGGAATCGAGCAAATGCAACATTACGAGTAGAAAGTAAACTTAGGTGTGACCACCGTGTTGATGCATCAATTAAGACCATAAAATACCAAAATGGTCCACACGCTGGATGAATTGGTCTACATATATCCCCTTGAATTAGTTGTAAAAATGGTGGGCATTCAACGACGACCTTGGAAGGTGATGGTCTGAATATTAATTTACCTTGTGAGCAAGCGGTACATGGATAATCATTTGCTAAAAGAATCTTCTGGTTCTTTAATGGATGACCATGTGAATTTTCAATGATTCGGCGCATCATTGTTAACCTAGGATGACCAAGGCGATCATGCCAAAGTATAAAAATATTTGGGTCAAAGCACTTCTGATACGTCACTGCGTGTGACTTAATTACTCTTATATTTGTATAATATAATCCAGAAGATAGAGCAGGGAGTTTTTCTAATACATGCTTCTGGCATGTAATACAGAGATATTCAACGCCCCTTTCATTTATAGTTTAAATATGATAACCGTTGAGACGTATATCTTTAAAACTTAATAAATTTCTTTTGGATTTGGTAGAGTTTAGAGCATCATCAATATTCAATTTTGTTCCACATGGTAATACAATGATAACTCTTCCGGAGCCTTCAATTAGGTCTGTTTTACCTGATATTGTATTGACACTAGCTTCAACTAATGTTATACGCAAAAAATATTTTTTTTATCTCAGAGTATAGTGTGCGTTGTTGCACTGTCTGCCAGACATATATCTTCACCATTTATCTTGGGTACAGTCAATGCCTTAGTCAGATCCATGCTTCTTCATACACATAAGATATATATTTCATTACTTCAAACTTGAAATACAAACTAAATTTACATACAAGATAACCAAAATAAAAACATACTGGTACAACCTAGATAGAGACATATTGATACAATGAAAATTTAAACATATTGATACAGATAAGATAAAACACATAAGGGATAACATGTTAGAGAAGGACACATTAATTGGTATGGACATTTCCATCACCAATCAAATGATCAATACTACCACTAGGATCAACAAAGAAGTCAGAAACATTAAGATGAGTAATATCAACTGGTAAGTCGTCATCCATAAAATTCATTTCAATTTCCTTTCCTTTTCCCTTATCATTCATTGAGGTACGGTAAAGATCAGCTAGATGTTTGGGCGTACGACAGGTACACAACCAATGACCTTTCATTCCACACCTATAGCAAGGCTTGTCATTATATATCTCAAGAGCTTTGTTCTGCAAAGCTTTTCCTTTTGCTTGCTTGGTTGTATTTGAATTCCACTTCTGGTGGAACGGTGTGGAGTTCCTTCTGGGAATCAATGAGGAATTATGACCACCACGATTATTATAATTATTTCTATTGCGACCAAATCCACGACCACCACTACGTCCGCGTCGACGTCGACGTCCACGACTGTGAAATGAGGACACATTTGCTTCTGGGAATGGTACAGATCCAATTGGATAGGACTGG